AGGGAAGAGATGCGCGAGCGCGCATTAAACGTTGGACAGCGTCATCAAGGTCCATCCCATCATCTTCATAGGTTGTGTTGCCTTGAGCTGAGTCGTCGGAGGACAGTTCGGGTTCGATTGGTGTATCTCCAGAATGCGTAGCTTTTCTTAATGCATGCCAAACTGCATCTTGCTCGGCTGGTGGTCGTTGAGATCTGCTCAGTGGCATTGTGAAGTCCATTGGTCCTGAGTGGTCAATGTCGTCTGACAGAGCCTGTGAGTCGGATTCTTCAAAGGACTGGTACTGTTCCATGTCATCGGATGGAAGCGCGTCCTGTTCTCGTTGTTTCTGGGGGAGCTGAGCAAGAGGAGCCCTTTGACCCATGGACAGGGACCGCTTGCGTATTAGCTCGCCGCGAACAACTTCTGTCATGTCCATATGGTCTTCGTCGTCGTCGAAGTCAAGTTCTTCGTCGACAATTGCAGAGTTATCTTTGGACAAGAAAACCTGAGGGCCAATCGATGTAATGTCCATATCCTCGCTAAGTGAATATCGCGTTGAGCTTCGACGACGGCTATTAGAGGCTGCCCCTGGATAATCGTTTTCATTGGTCGGTGGACGCGTCGACCGGTCAGACTGTTCTGATGTAGGGGATGGTTGAATTTTACCGACGCTGTCATTCGCGTTTTTGTCTTTCTTCAAATTTTGGATGAAACGGACATGCACACTCTTTGCGAAGCTGACACGTCGTCCCCCAAATGACTTTCTCATCGTATTATCTTGAGTCCTGTTATCAAGATTCCTAGTAATGTCCATTGACTGGTTGGTCGTGTCATCAAGAGAGGAAGATGGGTAGGGAGGCTGTGAGCCGGGCTCTATCTGAGATTCTGAATTCGAGGCATCATGGTCGTTATGTAGGATGTTGGTAAATGTCTTGAGAATGCTCTTTCGAGGAACCTAACAGCATTGTTAGAGTCAAATGAATAGAGAGACTTGGAACATACGAGTGAACGCCGAGCTTTTGCGAACGGGCTCAGACGATCTCCGGAAACAATACTGTGGGGGCGTCTTCTAGCTCTTGGGAGAACAGCGGGTTTGTTCTGGCTGGTGGCAGCAATAGATTTGCGCCTCTTGGGCGAGTCTTTACTAGTGACCATGGTGCAGAGGCCTCCCAGCTCAAGATACTTAGAAACAGTTTGTTGAAATCAAGCCCTCGTTGAGCGAACAAACAACGCGCTGCCAAACGCGGTCACATGATCCGTTCCTGGGCAAGTTCTGACTCCCATGGACGATGAAACGGTTCTTTCACCCAGTCTGACAGCTCGTAAATCTCCATGTATGAGATGATATTATAGCACTAAATATATACGTTCCAGCTACTTACACCAAAGGAACGTGTAAGATACTTGTCACGTGAACAGTTGTTGTGAGTGGCACCTGGGCCAGTGACAGCTAGATCTTCAAAGTTGAACTTGAAAGACATCGTGTTCCTCAGTGAACATCTCGGACTACGATGGCCTCGAAATCTGCTGCTGCGACTCGAGCATCTACGCGCTCAAAGCCAACCCCGGCTCTAGCGACGACGACGCGAACGACACGGGCGAGAACGGCGACTACAAGGACTACTTCGTCCGTTGTAGCCGCAGCGACAGTGAAAAGGACTGCAATACGCAAGCCACTTGTCAACAGGGAAAACTCTGTTGAAACAGACCCTGCTCCCAAAGTGGCTTCCAAGCCAATGGCGCGAAAGGCGACTTCGAAGAAGCAGGCCAATCTCATTGCGGCCACGGATACAGAATGTGAGCCCATCATGGTAAATATGCATACTTCTATGGTCTCCTCGTCACTCACAGCTCTCAAGGCCTTCCTTCGGATCCGACCCTATTTAGGCAAAGATGAAATCCTCCCTCAACCGTACTTAACACCTCTTTCCGACACAGCTGTCAGAATGGCAGATCCGAATGAGCAACAAAATAAAGCGGAACGCTTTCGCTCATCTACTCTGTCGCCGTCATCCATATACACTTTCTCTCATGTTTTTCCACCTGACACTACTCAGTCAGACTTCTTTACCAGAACCACACTCCCCCTAGTTCGAGATGTACTACAAGGCCAGAATGGTCTTCTGTTCACCTATGGCGTCACTAACTCTGGAAAAACTTATACTGTCCAAGGTGGTGCGAACGCAGGAAGTGCTGGCATCTTGCCCAGGACCCTTGACGTGATCTTCAATAGCATTGATGGGCTACACGGCGACGGAAGAGTAAGGATTTTGCCCTTCACGGAAACAGGCTTAACCTATCATAATTTCAGTTCAGGCCTGTTCGTTTGCAGGGCGTGGAACCTGCTGATCCCAGCGATTCCAAGGCACCTCATGTTCTCCAAGAGCCCTCTGTGACCGAAGTTCTCGGTCAGCCTTTAGACATCTCAGCAAGTGACACCGATATAGACCCTACCCTGCTTAAGGTGGACAGAAACTATGAGTACACTATCTGGCTTTCATACGCTGAAGTCTATAACGAGAAGGTGTATGACCTTCTCGAATCTGTGAAAGACGGCTCTGATCATCCCGGCGGTGGGGTCCCTCGAGCAACAATTGGTAAACCTATGATTCTGACGCGAGCAGCGTTGCCTCTGAAATCGTCTCCTGCGTCGGACAATGGAGATTCGGCAGTAGCGGGGAAATATATTTCTGGGTTGCGACAGTTCCGGGTGCACAGTGCATCCCAGGCGAAAGCACTTGTGAAATTAGGACAGCTTCATCGACGCGTCTTTGGCACGTTAGCTAATAGCGAAAGCAGTCGAAGTCACGGAATGGTCATGATCAAAGTGGTCAGAGGTCACAGAGGAGAAAAAGATGTGAGTTTGCCTCTTCTATCTCTTCATTTATCTCCTTACACTTCTCCAGGATCCTACTTCCCTCCAGATTTCCCGCCTAACGCTTGTTGACCTCGCTGGATCTGAACGAACGAAGCACACCCATACTACAGGCGACCGGCTTCGTGAAGCAGGCAACATCAATAAGTCTCTTATGGTATTGGGCCAGTGTATGGAGGTGATGCGTTCAAATCAACGCAAGCTAGCTATGAGTCTTGCACATGAGGGTTCTGGCCAGGATGGCAGGATGGACACCAGGGACGTTAAGAAGACACTTGCTGTCGTTCCTTTCAGACATAGCAAGCTTACTGAAGCACTCATGGACTACTTTATTGGCGACGGCAAGGCGGTCTGTCCAATACTTCGAGTATAATGTCTTTTTGACTTACTCTTTCCTCAGGTCATGATCGTCAACGTGAATCCATACGACACTGGTTACGATGAGAATTCGCATGTCATGCGATTTGCTGCCCTTGCACGAGAGGTATATGTGACGCCTGCTCCTGCCGTTCATCGGATGAAAGGACCAGGCAAAACAAATGGGACAACAATCAAGGAGCTTGGTCCCATGACTTTGAAAGACCCTGAAATCGTGCCCCTACCGCATTCCCGCAGGAAAGTTACAATTTCTATGGGTGGTCGTGACGGTAGGAAGCCTAGCGAGGCCATAGTGGAGGTTCTCGAAGGTACTTGTGAACTTAGTGGTGGTGCCATTTAACTGATTATTCATGAATGTGATCCAGAGGATGAGCCGAATGACGAACAGGACAATGACCCTGATGATGACGAGCCTATCAATCCTCTCGTCAACGCGCTGTTTGATGAAGTTGAGAATTTGCGTCTCCAGGTCCGTTGTCATGAGGCCTCCCATGAAGTTTGAAGTTTGAACCTAGCCACAGTTATTTGAGTCCGAAATGCGGTGCGCAATCATCGAAGCAGAGACAAGGGAGGAAGTCATGCGTGAGATGGAAGAGCGAATGAGAAGTATGGAGGAAATGTACTCGCGTCGACTCATGAAAGAGGTATGCCTGATTAAGTCAATTTAGTGCATGTTGGCTGACTTTTGGAAAGCTTGAGCAAAACGAGCTGAAAACCGATGCGAAGATTGACATGTTACACCGATCTGGGCTCTTTGCAAGTCCGGTGAAGAAGCAGACCGTGCGTCGTCCACCGAGTGAAATTTCGGAAGACGAAGAAGTTGAAATGAGCCTTGTGAATCGTTTCCCCCTCTTTCTTTATAGTGTCTTGAAGGCTTATGCATTTTGACATTATTTAGATTGACTACGGAGAAGACGAGGAATCAGAAGCTTCCGAGATGAGCAGATCTCCGTCATTGTCGCCGTTGGCCAAGAAGAGTGAAGGCAAATCTGGAAGCGCCCTCGGCGCACAATTAAATACGCCTACAGTAATTCGGGAAGTGCGGAAGTTCGTCCCAGACCTGCCTCTGCCTCCTGACAACGAGGAGGCCGAGCTAACCGAAACTGAGACTGTCGACAACGAAAGTGTAGCAGTGTCCCGTAGCGAGGTAGACGAGGATGAAGATTACGATGACGACGCCTACAGTGAAGAGAATGACGAAGACGATTGGGTGCCTCCGTCCACCTCAGCTCGAAACAAAAAATCGAAACCCAAGACCGGGGCACAGCCTGCCCTCGATGACTCAACAGCGCCGACGGCTAAAAGCAACCGAACGCGAGTGGTCAAACTTGCCCAAAATATGGAGGAGTTGTCTCTTAATGGTCCTGACGACTCTATGGTCATTCTTCCTGCCAAAAATTACAAAGGTCGTCGTTCTTCCTCAAACTTCGATGACAATGACGATGACGATGACGAGGAAGGTGATAGCGAACCACTTCCAGCTGTTAAGAAAAAGAAGAGGTATGTAGTCACTTCCACTATTCCACGGCCGTGATTTGACGCCCGTTCAGGCAATTGGGTAAGAAGCCTGTAATGACGGAGGAGGAAATTGAGAAAACAACTTCTGCAGTTGAGAGGAATGCTGCAAAGGCTGCGGGGCGGAACAGCATTAGGAGACTGACTGAGAGATAACTCATAGTTCTGCTGCTAAAGTTCTACTATTAAATATTTATTTGAGGATCTCGCGAATGAAACGGTATACTTATGTATCGCAGTACCCTTTACTGGCGCTATAGTGTAGTGGTTATCACTTGAGATTCTGATATTAATTTCTCAAAACCCAGGTTCGAGCCCTGGTAGCGCCTTAGGTCACTCTTTTTCCAATCTTTTCTTCGTTAAGAGAAATAAGACAGATGCTCTAAAATCTAGGGAAAGAGAATAAATGAACCATAAGGAATTACTTCATCTGTAGAAAGCGATTGTGCCTTTGATTCACAGCGCAAATCTCTATACATAAGGTTAGGTCGGGTGAAAAGCAACCTAATCTGACTTGAATCCAACACTGTTATGATAGATATCATTGAATTGTAAGTCCTAAGATTAATTGATGGTAATTACAAAACAGCGTACAAAATTTACACTATAGCTAGCCTATCTACAAAATTAATATACAGAACATTACATTGAGATGTGAGGGAACAATAGTCGCACCAAGATCAAAAATACATTGTCAGACCTTCAAAAAAGTAGATGAAATCCGCCCAAGAAAGAGAGTATTGTGACACTGATCTCACTGCTTGGCCTGGCTAGTCCATCGCAGGTTTGTTGATGTCAGTGGATGTTTTGGTATCAGCGCAGCATTTTCGATGTTGAGCCGCTGCTAAGGCCTGTCGCACGGCCCTCTCAAACTCAGGCTGAGAAAAGGTATAAGCTCAAAGCCAAAGAAGTTAGGGAAACCAACATACAATCAAATGGAAGAGACGGAGAACACGACGGCGGTGCTGCTCCTCAAATCCTAACTCGGTGTTCTGGACATGATTTGCAGGGGGTGCGGCAAGAATATTGGCGGCAGGGGATCTAAGTGCCGCCTGGAGAAAATTGGAAGGTCAATGATCCATACATGATGTATCCGATGAGAATGGACATACAGGAAAATGGGAGGCCACAAGCGGAATGTCAAGAGGAGTATAGGACTCATCCGTGTTCTAGATAGGTTGAGGATTTACCTCAGGATTAAAATTGCAAAGGATGAGTCAATTACCTCATAACGAGATAAGGAATTTCTCGGTCTATTAACACGTAGATATGGATGAAATCGTCGATTAGTACGTGGTTGATACGAAGGAAGCCGTAGCGAATCTGCAGCGTCATCAACTGCAGTGGTCTCCTCGTAAGAGATAAGAGAGAACGGGCTTGGGCCGGGGTATGGAGGGGGCGCGTCCGAGTCGTTGGGAGGAAACATCTTTGGCTGGGGTTGTTGGAGGTAGGAAAATGGGTTCAGGCCTCAGGGTCCATTGGTGCAGTTTTAAGGTCCCCGTGCGCTTCCAAAAGTAACGGGGTCACATACAATCTTCCAAATAAACTGTACCACCAAATAGAAGAACTTCTCTCCACCACTGAATAAACTCTATCGCCAGACTCCGCGACTCTGCCTGCGCTGGAGACAGAGAGAATGAATTTGATCACCCAATTTGCCTCCGTTTCCTGTCAGTGATCGAGATTGAGCCAATGATCGTCACTAGCGAAATCTGTCATGGACTCGGAGGGAAACGTTGGTCCGCCGCACCATTGGACAAGAGGTAGATTCTACATCTCCAAAGCGATGAGATACTGTTGCGTGCACTATGCAGTGAGCATAACCCAATTTCCCAGGCTGACGTATGTTCTCAACACAGTACATGTACAGTGCTGGTGGATCGCTCCGCCATCCTTGACGAAAGACTTCAATCGACCTTGCAAAGGCATCGAAATCCAGCAACTGGCCTTCCGTATCTGTTTCGTTGATGACAAGACCTAGCGAGCAACCATCAAGGGGATTCATTCAATGCTGCGGTCCATTTTTTCCATTGCCAAATCATGGCTCCTGTTGTCGCTTGAGCAATACCTGGATCGTCTAAGCGCGCTCTATGAATTGCGCTACTCTTCGGTGGGCTGGTAGCTGCTCCTCTGGGCCTTGCATTCATCAAATGCCTTCGCTTCATTTCCTCTGTCCAGCATAGTGCGTAACCTTTCAGCCATCTGGCTTTCATCCGTGTCCATGAATGTCCTCTTTGTCGGCTCAAAATACTCCCAATGTATGCCCCCCTTTCGAGCAGTGTCCCAGAACAGACCGACTCTTCTACTTCCGTATTTGGGCATAGTCGCGCGCACGTGATCATGTCGGGGCCGATATTGCTGTTACTTAGTTGAGTCACGTCCTCCGTACTTGTACTGTCACCAACCACCAGAAATTTAGCACGTATATCGTCCGCACTTCATCTGTAATATGAGGATTGTCAATCAAGGCAGACTTAGAACCGAATCAGAAAAGCCGTACCCCTCAAGTTCATGTACCCTCAAAATCTTCAAGAAAACATCCAAGATCCCGTCAAGTTCCATCCCAGCCTTCAAACAAGCAGGCAAGCCTCAGCCCCAAGACTGCCAATCGATAGAGAACCCCTCAAATCAATGCAACTCCAAGATGCCCTGATCACAAACCCATTGAAAGGAAACTACGCAAACTGCTAGAAAAGCGCATACCTGTCTGCCCCAATGTCTCTGTCCCAATCATCTGGCCGCCCGGCTCGCCACACATAGTTGTGAAATTTGAGCCCATCTGCCTCTGAAATATCGTCTGTTTGCAGCGGAGGCCGTCTAGCGTCTAGGGGCTCGCTCTGGTTCGGCTGTCCTGAAGATGATCAAGATATGCTTCAAATACTTGCAGATTGAACTCACCAGCAAGGTCTCAAGCAATCCTTTCGTATTGACCAAAGTCGAAACTCGAAAAGTGCATTGAAAAAGTGCTCATCGTCAGCGCCACTCGGTAATCTTCTTCGCTTCGGTGAATCGTATTATGAACTGAAGGAATGGCTGAAGGGCCATCCAGTAAGTCCCCTGATAAGAGGGATGCAGTCACTCCTCCAATGTGGATACACTGAAGATATATTGCGAGGGCCAGGGGGGCAAGGAGGGGTAGTTCAGCCGTTATGACCCTCCAGCTCCAGCTCCTCACACCCAACCCCCTTGAAGGAGACGCTCTCCGTGGGTCGAATTTATTCTGAGCCAAGAAGGCTCCAGTTTTGTGTGGGGAGGGGGAGGTTTCCGAGCGATGTCGGCAAACCTTCGGTACGAAAGAGAAGCTCGACTTGTCAAGGTATAAAGCCATTCAAAGCCTTCCCTTCAAAACGGCCCTCGTGCAGAGAAAGCGACGGTAAGACGAACAAGGAGTATCACGATTGGATTGTTGACAGAGAGTGGGCAGGCGTGAACCGTGACAAAACAAACGAGGCCACAAATTTCCCCCCGTTCCCGGCATCAAATCAGCTTCAAGCCATCCGTTCTACACTAGCTCAAGAGCAAGCACCGCCTCCCCTGAGTGATCATTCAAAGTTTTAAGTTCCTTGCATATACTGGTCCGATTCACAGCGTGACTTGCGTTGCAAGGCTCTCATCGTCATGCCTGACCCCGAGCACACTGCATCGGAGTTCATGTCTTGGTACTTTCCCGACCATGACCCTTTTGTAGGCCAACTGGTACGTTTTTCCTATTCATTTTCGTTTTCCTCCACAGTCTAAACCTTTTACAGGCCAGCATCGAGGTCCTTTTTCTTTTCGCATTTTCACGTAGACCGGAACTTTCGGTTCTTTTATTTGAACACCACTCGCTGAGCCACCACGCTCTGCATTATTTCCTTACTTTCGAGCATGTCCTCATTGAGATTTCAAACAAGCTGATCACTTTGATTGATGACCCCCCCGTAGTGCAAGGATCTCTCCACTATTCCACGTATTTTCTCTCGATTTTTCACCTTGGCCACCAATGCACGGTCGAGAAATTATTAAGAGGTCCAATCCAGTTGTCCTGGAAGTTTTGGTACTATATCTTTGATCTGGTTTACAGGTGCGATGAGGTGCAATATTAATGTTGACCCGAGTGTGCGAGGGTCTGTTTTTGGTATGTGCCATTGGGCGTGGTCATGACTTTGCTTGCATCCCAACAGTTTACCAAGTCTGTTCAACTTGCATCGAAAAAATGATCAGCCGTACGTCTTGGTTCAAGGCCTACTAGTACTTGATTACGCGAGCTCAATATGAGCCTTAATCTTCTTCGCGGACCGCGACTGGATTTCAAAGTACGAGCGTTTTACTAAGTAGTAAATTGCCCGGACGCTGTTGCCCTCTTATATCATGGTAAACGCCGCTTAGAGATATCCTGCCCCGTTATGGAGGTTCCTTGCTACTTGAAGGTGTATCTCACAATCTGAGCGAAGAAGCATGAATAAAAAGTATTGTTATTAAATGCATGCATACCCCGCGGGAAAGACCACCAAACGATAGGCTGACGAGTGGCTTGGACCACAGGGAGTTATGTCAGGATATAGAGAACTATACTCTGCCAAGAAGGTGTTACCCATAGGATCCTGCCCATGTGGCCAGAGTCTCTCATCACCATCGCCCCTGAGTAAGTATGTGTGTTCTGCAGACAGCAGTATGTACTCTTACTTGGTACATTTATCTACAGTAAACTGGCTGTTCCGTGTTGGGACCGCGCCAGTATAATACACACTCCCCCTCTGGGCTTCATTTGAAAAAATTCTACACAGCATCTATTTATTATCAATTTATTATCAGTCCACCGAGGTCCGAGACGCGATTCCGGTGTGCAACTGCATTGAAACGACGATCCGAGTCGCCCCACCACCATGCACCAACATCCAACCAACGTTTATACTAGTAGGGAAGTCTATCGATTATGTTCGTCTCATTTTCTCCGTGGTGGAATTCATCAATGTGCTCGGACCCACTAGTGATACCCCGACCATGGGATTTCAGTCAATTACACACAATTAACTATAGACATGAAAGCCATTTTAGGATTATAGCGTATTCCAATCCTGCCTGTATCAAATCTCCGCCCATCCGCCGTCACCCTCTTCTACGCTGAAGAAAGCCAAACAGAAAACGATGGCGCTAGCCCCCAATCTCATTCCCAGTCCACGATAAAGCTGGCCAATACCGCTATGCCTGAACCAGCTTTCACCCTCGCCAGCGTCGTCATCATCATTGGACACGGCCCGCTCCTTACCCTTGGCACTGGCCTGGCTGCCTCTCCGATTCCTTGTCCGCTGCTTGATAGGTAGGTCGGACCGCTCTTCTGTTAAGATAT